CTTTCTGACTAGGGTTATTCCAGGCAGATCCTCTGGGAATACGACCGTGGTCGCACACTTATAGAATATCTTTGATTTCCTTATCCTTGCCTTGCATATCCACCACGTAGGGCAAGAAAGTGAAGCATCTCTTTTGTAAGCATTTTCTTGCTTTCATGCAAGACATGAATCTTAAATTCTTCCATGATTTATCCTTGTAAATCACAAGGGCTTCATCATTGGGTAGGGGTAGTCGAATGGCTTTTTTATAGCATAGAACTTTGGCTTGGTGAGGCTATAACCAATCCATTCTAATAATCACATCGAAACTTCCAATGGTCATGGGTAGGTCGCCGTGAAAGATGTGGTTATTCAAGGTGAGAAGGCAATTGGTAAGTATTTCTAAGGTGCTCTATACTTGCCTGTTTGCCATTTCTACCGTATAGCCTCATTAAGTTTGAAGGATTTATGGTTTAGCATGCTTCTAAAATTTTGGTTAATGAAGCTTCTATCAGCACCAATATCAAATAAGACAGAAGCATAAATATTATTGATAAGAAACATACCAGTAACCATAGTTGGTTCCTAGCAAGCATCTCCCGTAGTGATTACAAATGCTCTTCCTTTGCCACCCTGATTCTTTAGTTTCGGGCGGTCCTTCTTAAAATGCACTACTTGATCACTTTCAAAGCAGTTATGGCTTCCTCCCACAATAATTGTTAAGTTCTGATAGATGCATTTTATGCACCTATTTTGCATGTTTATTTCTGTCCTTTCATAGCATTATACTTCATAATTCTTGCATTTAGTTGATTATTTGGGCAATTGCATATTTCATCAAGAATGTTTGGTACTTCACTATTTTTTGATTTATTTTGTAGGCTTTATGGAGTGTGGATCTTGGATGCTGGGAGCTTTGGAGCATGAAGAGAAGATGAACCGGTCATTCCATGGCAGAAAACATGAAGACATAACCTGAGTCATTGTTGCATTGTCATCATAGGAAAGGACTATGTTTGAAATTCGGTTCTTGTCACACTGACACGAGTCATATTTATCCTTTATCATCTCATATTTGAGCAACATGACTCATGGTGAAGCTAGACTGAAGATGGAGCCAACACTGAAGACTTATTTGATTTTTAGCAAAAAGCATGGGCCATGCCAAAAACACATGGTCAAGACAAATGGCCATGCCAAAAACACATGGGAAAAAGGCATGGCTATGCCAAAAACGCATGGCCTTATGGCATGCGCGTGAACATTAATTAAAACAAGATAAGGAATCATTTAATGGGAATAACGGTTTCTGGAGCATTTTTGGGGTGATCTTGGGCGATTCTAGGAGACTTCTTGGAGATTTTGAGAAGACCTAATCATTGCAAACACTTTTGATTTCATTTTTGTAAGCATTAAACATTCCAAATCCATCTGTATTCTTGTTTGATTTGTTCTTAGCCATGTGTGGCTAAGAAACCCTAGTTTCTAGTTCTTTTTCAAAACATGTTGATTGCTTGACTTGAAGCATATGATTTGATGTTTGATTTGTGATTCTGTCCTAGTGATTATGTTTTTGTTTAAACTAGAATCCTTGAATTTGATTTGCGTTTGATTGGCCACTTTCATGAATTGAATTTTTATGTAGTTAATTAACTTTTAGGACACCTAATTATTCTATTAAGTTAATAATTGCTAACAAATAATAATTTTTCTTATTGTAAAACATATATCATATGTTTTTACACTTCCGAGCATATGAGAAGAACTGAACATTGTTGGGAAGCTTGTACAAAACTTAATGCAATTTTTCAATACAATCTAAGAGCGTGTTTAGGTTGAATTAGTAAAGCTAGGTCTAGTCAAAGAGCATGTTTTGGTTAGATAATTTCCCAAGCGAGAGGTATTAGAGCGTGTTAATATCTTTCAGTACCAACTTAGAATAGCAATCATGAATTACATCAAGTCATAATCAAGTTGAACAACAACATTGAGAACTAGAACTAGAACCATTCAATCAAATTGTTTACAAGTTTATTTTATTTTCTACATGTTTCAAAGTTGATTGTTATTTTCATTATTTGACTTTTGCAAACAATTCCCCCTTTGTGACCAAAGTAACATGTGCAAAGAGGTATAGACCTTTATCCCATTTCTCTGTGGTTCGACCCTGCTTGCCTTGTACTACTTTTTAGTGCATTAAAGTAGTGTATTTGCGGTCTATTGTACCCCCATTATTTGTTGGGTTTGACACGCCTAACAAGTTCGTAGTGTTTGGTGCCTTTCTGTAGTGCCTTGCGACGTGACCTTTCATACCACAGTTGTTGCAGGTCATATCTATGCAATTTCCAACATGGTGGAATTTGCATTTGGTACAGTGGGGTAGAGTTCTAGTGTAGGACTTGGATGGGTGGGAGTGTTTTTGATTGCGGCATATAAAGACGCAGGTTCTGACTTGGGTTTGTGATTCTTGGATTTCCCTTTTTACTTTCCATGGAACTTTCATTGTCTACCCTAATTATGTTTTGCTTGTGGGGTCAGGGTTCCCTGGTGGATACACTGTTCACTCAATTGATAGCCTAATTGCTTGGCATTATCAAATGTGGAGGGTCTGGATGCAGTAACAAAACCTTGAACTGGTGAATTCGATCTCCAGATGTACCTTTCAGTCTTCATATCTTCCGGGGTCACCATTCCCAGGAAGAGATTTTCAAGTTCGTTATCGTCGAGAGGTGTAGGCAGCCACCTCCGATCCTTTCATGGTAAGATTCTAGAGCTCCTGCTCCAGGTCCTGGACTTCCTGTCGAGGGCAGTACTCCCTGATTATCATTTATTTTAGGGGTTCCCAGCACATGACATAGGCTTCATCAATTTCCATGGACTTGGCATGATTATTCCACCAATTCAAGGTGGAATCCTTCAATTTGTAGGTAGCATACTTAACTCGGCAGTCCTCAGTGCAAGCACTGATAGGAAATACTGCCTCCATCTTTTCTATCCAACAGGATAGACCAACAGATCCTTCTATGTCCTAGAAGGATCGGGGTTTTTGGCCTACAAAATCCTTGTATCACTACTAGAAAAATAGCCTTTTAAGACACGCAAATTACGACACTCATTGATTTATGTTATGCAAAAGAGAATGACATTAAAAAATTGTCATCTCTTCAAAAAATTTAAGAATTTAGGTCACACATTATTGCGTTCCCTTAAATTAATGTCTTATGCAAAAAAATTAAAAACACAGAGGGCACTTTATCTAAATTGTGCGTCCTATGTGAATGTTGCTTTATATTTTTTTTAAAGAAATGCGCGTCTCCTTCGTCTTAGAGGGAAAATGAAATCCCCAAGTTTTTTAAACCCCCACCTTCTTCTCCCTCGTCTCCACCACTCATCCACATCCACTGCCTTCAATCCTCGTTGCCTCTTCTAGCCTCAGATTGTGCCGATTAACAACTATGATTCATCAACCGTCAATTGAAGCTACCAATTGAACAAGCCCTAATCGACACCACCACCTTCGCGTCTCTCCTTCTCCACTAGGTTTTATCACATCTCTATCCTCCTCCTTCTCGTCTCTCCTTCTCCATTGACAACACCAACACCGTTGTCACGATCTATTCCAACGCCCACCACAGTCGAAATTGATGAAACCATACCTCCTCCTGCTTCTAACGGCTCAAAATGGATTGTATATGTCGATGCTTCTTGTTTTTATTACCCCATTTCTTTCAAAATCAAATCGACCCAAAACCCTAGGTCTTGTTGTTCAAATCAATTTCAATGGTGAACCTCCGACTTCATTGGTTTGAAGAAAAATATATTAGACACAGTGTATCAGAATCCAATAGTGGTGGTAATTGGTGAGAACGGTTCATGGAAGAGAACTCAAAATCTTAGATATTACACAAAAATGGCAACATGAAGACCGGAACCATCCCAGTCACCCAGCCCCACCGTGTCGCCATCGTCTATGTTTCTAGGTAATCATATTCTCACACCTTAATTTTTACCTCTCATGTATCTGTGCGACTTTGATTACTTCCTTGGATCATTTGAGGTTCCTTTTTTATCCTTCTTTTCTCCCAATGTTTCAATACACATTTGATTAAATTACACATGGGATCTCATTGTTTGTTCATTTAACTGGATGGTATGATCAGGGATGGAATCTCTCAAGTAAATTATGCCCTTGTAAAGGTATTGGTGTGAAATTGCATTGGTTTGGTTTCAGATCATTTATAATTACTTCTGAAAGCTACTCTACACAAACTCAAAATGCAGGGCCTTTGTCTATATTAACAAAGAAGTTAAGTAGTTGGAATGAGTATTAGGAATGAAGAGGCATCCCTTTAGATTCTCATGTTTCTCCGCATCTTCACTGGGTAATGTAGTTACATATACTTCATAAAATATTTGTATTAGATTTAGTGTATATGGTTACATACTTATATTTTTGTGTTTTTCTCATTTAAGCCATAAAATTTTTCTATTTTGGTTTTATTTCCAACCACTGACCATATATCAAGCAATTCAGATTGCTTATGTGAACAGTTGATCCCTAAAACTACTAATGAACTATGCATACACTACCTAGGTATTTTCATCACTTTTAAAACCTGATTTAGCTTATTGCATATAGATTTTTTTGGACCTGATATTCCACATGCATATAGATTTTGTTGGTAGGTTCTAGTAACAAAATACAACTACATTTACATATCCAGAAGCTCATCATCAGCAATTAAGTATCTCTTTTTGTTATATATATTTATGTTACTTTCTAGTTCTTATCATGTTGAGTTTAGTGAGGTCAAAAAGCACAGTGGTTGTTCTTCCTTGATATATTTATACATTAAAACATTAGAACATTCGTATCAGGGAGGTCAAAGCACAGTGGTTGTTCTTCCCTGGAGATATTCATATATTATAACATTAGAACATTCATCAAACTTTGCATGGATTTGACTTTTGTTGATGTAGGAACTGAACTCGGAGTCGGTTATAAATGGAGGTTTCCTTGAATGGAAAGAGACCATGGATTCTTGGGGTTCCAAAATGATATCTTCTATAGAGATGAAGTGACTTTGCATCATAATTTCTTGAATGTTACAGGATATAATTCAAAATTCAATTTCCTCGGGCTGTTGCTGAAATGGAAGCAATTGGTTCCACTGAGGTCACTTTTTATCTTGGACATGTAACACATAAGTAAATGGTTAAGGTCATAGAAAAGTAATATTCGTTAATTTTCATTTATCTTAACCAAACTTTGTTTTGTACTTATTATACTCTAGTTTTGATTTTATGTGCCATGTTATCTAACAATCCAAGAGCTACCCCAGTTTGTTGATGTTTGAATGATATGTTTCTAGGTTGCAGGGTCCGCATCTTCTTGCTCCAACATGGAGTAACCTTGAACGCCATGGGGGAGAGGGTACTGTGTTTGCAGGATAAAAGTATGACCTTAATTTTTTAACCATTCATGGAAGAAGTAGATTCCATGGTCTAAGTATTTGGCAGAAATTTTGAGAAGATAGCATGGGATGCTACAAGGGAGCGTTTGGCTGTGTCACATAAAGATGGAAACGAGTTTTACAAGGCTCTCATCGCCATATATGATGTTAAAAGGGCTACAATCATAACCTCCTCATTAATGTATATCACGAATTTTCATTCTTTGCATAATGCATAATAATAATTAATAAAAGACTTATCATGTCAATATAACATATAGCTTATCCTCATCATTGAAAGTAGTGCTTTTTTTATAAATTAATCGATGCAGTTGATTCATCAGAGGGCCTGGAGAGGACCTGAAGCCTCTAACATTTTCATTCCATGACAAGTACAAACAGGGGCCCCTGTTATTAGTTGTAAGTATTGTATTTCTAGCACCCATTTTATCAATTTAGCCACTCATACTCAACTATTATTAAAATAATCTTAAATAATTAATTAATAAATAATGTTTGTAATTATGCAATGCGGATATGGAGCACTGGAAGCTGTGTCACCTAACCCCTCTTGATTCGTTCCCATCTCCTTGCTTAGCTTAAGCGCAGTCCACCTATTTTCAATTTTCTTCGCCTATACACTTTCTCTCCAGTTTTGCAACAATCACGAGCATTTGATTTGTAGAATATTATCAGAAGGAATGGAAAATGTGTCAAACGATTTAATTATATATATGATGGGGTATTTTGGTATTTTAACAAATCTGTTAATATTCTATCAATTTAGCCCCTCATCCGGTAAGTATCCTATCTTTATTCTACTGTTTGTCCATTTCTACATATCTAAACTATGATTCTTGAATATTTACGTCTTTTTTATATGTGGAATCTGAAATGTTCAGGGACTAAATCACACTCTTTTTAGAGCTTGCAAACTGAAGAGGTGTAAAAGGAAATCCGGAGTTTTCTACAGGCTGCAAAATGGTATGTACTATGTAGTAGTCCTTTCAATGTGTTACCTTTTTTTTTTAATCATTTTTTCATTTTTTTGAACTTTTTCTCTAATCTATGCAGGTTGTGGATGCACCAGAGATTCTGATAGTGATCGGAAAGATTCCATTTTTATCAGAATTCATGAACTCTGTACGAGTGTCAATACAAATCATTCTTCTCTGCTTTTGGTGAGTTTATGTTATAACTTTTACATGTTGATGAGGGTTATTTTGGTTGTGGTTTAATTTAATAATTTATAATGATATTGTTTATTTGCAGTTGGGATCACTGAGCATATTAACTTGGATCGGTATTTGCATCCACACTTCCATTTTTACATGAAACAGATCAGGACAGTTGTGTATTCTTAGTTCCTGGAATCTTACAAGAGTGTCACCATTGAAGTCATGGCAAAGGCATTTAGTGTCATGGTTGATTTCATTGATCTGTAAGAAAATTATCTAACATTATTTTCGTTGATTTATTTGTTCCTATCTGTATCATGAGGGTATTCTGGTCTTTTTAACAACGTGTGTGTGATTGTTTGAATTTGGTAGGGAAACAGGGAGCTGTCACTAATCATTGCAGCAGGGAAGCTTCATTGCAAGATCAACAAAGTAGAAGGTGTTTTGGAAACCAACCGCCCGGATGCAAAGAATGCTCTTTATGATATCTTATGCTTTTAGTTCTTCTCTAGCAGTTCCAAGAACAGAGAAAATATTGCAAATTCAGTCTGATGATTCAGCCTTATTTAATTTCTTATGCTTTTAATTTTGTAGTTAAACCTGCTTTATTAGATTTTGCATCAATTTTTGTTGATAAAATCCTTCTCTTGGATTCATATTTCACTATTTTTGTGTTTCATATATGCACCATGTAACATCCGGATTTTACCAGGTATAATGTAAGTTTAATTGTGTTATTTTGTAAGAGGGACTCGGCGAGTTGAGGCTCAGACTCGCCGAGTAGGGATGCGGGATTGAGCGAGGGTGCGCACTTGGACTCGGCGAGTCTGCGCTGTGTTATGAAACCCTAAATCTCCGGGTTTGTGGCCTATTTAAGGGGCCTTATGGCCGTCATTTGCGCTCACCCAACCCCCAGAGAGTGTCCCTAGAGTTCTTGAGCGTTTTGTGAAGGAAAGAGAGCCAATCTTGATCTTGTGTGTGTTGTTTAGCAAGAAGAAGGAGCCCCTAGGCAAGAGGAAGCAAAGGAGGTTGCTATTTCGTGGATTTGGAGCTTGGATCATCACTCTAGAGGTATTATTTTCGGACCATTTTCTGTTTGGTGAAACTTGATGCAAGTTAGGGCTTAATATGATCATTTATGGGGTGATTTGGTGCCCTTTGGTTCCCTCTTTGAGTTGAGACCATGGATCTGGATCCATAGAGGTCCAGAGGGCCTCACTCATCAAGCTTTATGGGTGGAAATGGAGTCCTTGGCCTTGTGTTGAAGTAGTAGAGTCAAAAACATCATTTGTGATCATGTAGAGGTTATTTATGCATCAAGATTGTGACTTTACGTGCTAAATAAGCATGGGGGGACTGGATCTATGGATTAGTGGACTGGATCTGGCCTTTAGAGCAAGATTGAGTCAGTGCATGGCACGGACTCGCCGAGTCCGAAGAACAGACTCGGCGAGTAGCTTGAATGTTGCACGACCACTCAGCGAGTGGCCTCGCCGAGTTGGGATGAGTGAACTCAGTGGGTCAAGGGGAGTCAGGATGGACAGGTGGACCGAGTCAAACCGGACTCGCCGAGTTGTTCTTGAGACTCGGCGAGTTGAGTCGTGGTGGCCCCACAACTCGTGCCAGGTGGAGCTCGTCGAGTTGGGAGGGGATGCTCGACGTGTCAAGAGAGGATTCCAGGGAAATTGGTGAATGCGCTCAGACTCGCCGAGTCGCTATAGTGCACTCGCCGAGTCCGGTCAAGTTGACCGTTGACCAGCGTTGACCTAGATTGTCCTGTTATGGTATGGTCAACCCTAGTTGGGAAAGTGTTAATTAGAGATATATTGTGCTATAGGGGGACTTCAGCTCGGCAGATCGAGTGTTTAGCGATTTCAGGGTTACGGTTTACCGAGACACACGAGGTGAGTCTTCTCACTATACTTTACCTTGAGTAGGTAACCAGAGTTATGTGATAGAGTATTTGTATGCTATGTATGTTATGTGTTGTACTGCATTACTTTTATGTGTTTGATGCTGTGCATGTTTACAGAGTTAGAACCGGAAGGTTCACAGAGTTAGAACCTGAGGGTTCACAGAGTTTGGGTGCACGGACCCACAGAGTTATAGCCTCGAGTGGCTAATATGTGTTATATGCAGTATTTTGGGAAACTCACTAAGCCTTGTGCTTACAGTGTTGATGTTATTTGTTTCAGGTACTAGTGACGACCGTGGGAAGGCGCCGGCTTGATCCGTACACACACGTTTGGAGCTTGACATTTTGATCTTGGGATTTTGTACTATTTTGTTGAACAATTAAAAGGGGTTGTTTCTATGAATATTGATGGAATTATGTTTTATAAAAATCGAAAATTTTGTTTGAAAAATTAGTGTTACAAATTGGTATCAGAGCCTTGGTTTGAGGGATTCGGGTACACCTTCGGGGGTATTTGAACTCAAACTGAGGAAATGAAGAGATATTTTCAAAATAAAAACCAAAATTTTCTAAGAGTAAAGGGTTTTCCAGGAAGAAACGTGTGTACGATCAGTCAGCGCCCGAACGGTGAATTCCCAAAATATCTTTTGTTATGTAATAACTATTATTGTGATGTGTGTGCATGCTAGAGTAGGCTAGGTATTGCTGATAGGGCTAGAGTGGCCTGTTTTGTGATGCCTTAGCTTAGGGAATGGTGAGCTGCTATGAGACGCTGAGAGTAATTAGGTAGCAGCTAGGGTTTTGTGTGAGATCTGTTCAGAGAGATTTAAGTATAATAGAGTACTTGGGGACTGGGATCCGAAGAGGACGATTTGGGGTGTGTACCGAGACGGTGCGGACAGTAGTATTGGGCCCGTACTACTAAAAGCACCGGAGCGGTACACAGTTCAAATAAGAATCTGGGGATGCCAAGAATCAAGGAGGGGTGGATTGTTGAATGTAAGGTGTTCGAGTGAATTCTAATTATCGCATGTTGTATTTCAGAGGTTGATCATGGTGAGGACACGACACATGCCGGAGGATGCCGGATCTAGTGATGAGGACATTCGACAGATCATTCATGAGGAGGTGGCTGCGGTCATCAGAGCCGAGATACCAGAGATGTTCGGGTCCATTAAGACCGCTTTGATTGAGACGTTTGACGAGCGCTATGCCGCTCTTTCTGAGGCTGCGGTTGCAGCAGCTACCGCAGCGATTGCTGCGGCAAGACCCCAGGGAGGTGATGCGATGTTGTTCAGGGAGTTCAGCAACACCAAGCCACCAGAGTTTGATGGTACGCAGGACCCGGTGGCAGCTATGAGGTGGATATCTGATATGGAGGGATGCTTCTTCACTTGCTCGTCCCCTGAGCATTTGAAGGTTCGGTTCGCGCTGAACCAGCTTCGCTTGGGAGCGAAGGACTGGTGGAAGTTTGTGACTGCGCATTTCACACCGACTGAGCTTTCGGCAGTGACCTGGGAGAGGTTCACTTCCATGTTCCGAGATGAGTATGTTCCTCAGGTGGAGAGGGAACGTCTGGCACAGGAGTTTCTGACCCTCAAGCAGGGTACCGAGTCAGTTACAGCGATTACGAGGATGTTTCAGGAGAGGGCGATGTTTTGCCCTGAGCACGTGTCCACCGAGCAGGCACGTATGAGCCGTTATCTGAGCATTTTGAGGCGGGATATTCGGGAGTTCGCTGCGAACTCCTCGTACCGGACATTTGCCGAGCTTCAGGCAAATGCTCGGAAGAGGGAGATTGAGCTTGAGACTCAGGCCAGGGAGGAGGCGGAGTCTATGGGGAGGGATCGGCGGCCGGCACAGTCCCAGCCGGCAGCCAAGCGGGCCAAGCCCGCTGATCCCAGACCCGGGAGCCAGAAGGGCCGCACTTGTGGGAAGTGCGGCAAGGGTCACGATGGCGCCTGTCGGGCAGGGTCTTGCTACAAATGTGGCAAGGAGGGGCATATGGCTAAGGACTGCCCCAAGGGATTTGCAGTGTGCTTCCACTGCAACCAGACGGACACCGGAAGGCGGAGTGTCCGCTGCTGCGCGGGGCATCTCAGGGGTCTGCTCCCGCCGCCATCAGAGCTGCTGCTGCAGAGAGTCGGCCCGTGAAGGCCGAGGCACCGAGGGCTCGGGGGAGAGCCTTCCAGCTGACTGCGGAAGAGGTCCGCGCTGCACCCGACGTTGTGGCTGGTATGTTTCCTTTTCATTATTGTTTATGGTGTTGAGATATTATGCTTATATCATGCTATGCTTAGGTACCTTCCTTGTGAATTCTGTACCTGCTTTAGTGTTATTTGACTCGGGTGCGAGTCGATCTTTTGTGTCCTTGGCATTTAGTCAGCGTATCAGTGTTAGTCGTGGAGTATTGAGTCGGCCCCTGCGGGTTTCCATAGCCGCCGACAGAGTGATTTGTGCTACAGAGGTCTTCCGGGGATGTGTATTGGAGATATTCGGGGTCGAGTTTCCGATCGACCTGATTCCGATTGCGATGGGTGATGTCTGTGTTATAGTGGGCATGGATTGGTTGAGCCGATTCGGTGCGGTTATCGATTGCGAGCGACAGCTGGTGACTATACGAGATCCTAGTGGGGGAGTTCTTTCAGTATACGGCGAGGGTACACGTTCTGGATCAGCCTTTTGTTCGGCTGCTAGGGCGAGGCAGTGTTTACAGCAGGGCTGTAAGGGTTATGTAGCGTATGTGATGGATACGCGAGTGATCTCCGAGAGACCGAGCTCTGTGGAGGAAGTTCCGGTGGTGCGGGAGTTTCCAGATGTATTTCCCGAAGAGTTACCAGGTGTGCCTCCCGCGAGGCAAGTGGAGTTTGGCATCGATTTGGTTCCGGGGGCCGCGCCTATTGCTAAGGTGCCGTATCGCCTTGCGCCTCCAGAGATGCAGGAGTTATCCTCGCAACTTCAGGAGTTGCTGGGGAAGGGGTTTATTCGGCCGAGTAGCTCGCCGTGGGGAGCACCCATCTTGTTTGTGAAGAAGAAGGATGGCTCGCATCGCATGTGTATTGATTACCGGGAATTGAATAAGCTGACGGTCAAGAACCGTTACCCGCTGCCGAGGATCGACGATTTATTCGATCAGCTACAGGGAGCATCTTGGTTCTCCAAGATTGATTTGAGGTCGGGCTATCATCAGGTGAGAGTGCGGGACGAGGACGTCCAGAAGACAGCATTCAGGACGCGTTATGGGCATTATGAGTTTGTGGTGATGCCTTTTGGGCTCACTAATGCCCCGGCTGTGTTCATGGACCTCATGAACAGGGTATGTCGGCCGATGTTGGATCGGTCGGTGATTGTTTTCATTGATGATATTCTGGTATATTCGAGATCTAGTGAGCAGCACGAGGAGCATTTGAGGGAGGTGCTTGGGGTTTTGAGAGCGGAGAAACTTTACGCAAAGTTCTCCAAGTGCGATTTCTGGTTACGGGAGGTCCAGTTTCTGGGACATCTCGTTAACCAGAAGGGGATATTGGTCGATCCGGCCAAGGTTGACGCAGTGATGAGGTGGGAGGTGCCGAGGTCACCTTCTGAG